TCCCTTTTTCACATGACACGAAGAAATCTAAAATAGTATTTAGGTGACTAGAGGAGGCAAGATTGGGAGCATTCAGTCTGTCTGGGGGCTTTCCAACCCCACCCCATGCCTAAACAGCCCTCACAGAAAAGTTACCATGGAATTGAGGTGCTGCACTGGGACGAGGTCCCATTTTCCAACCTACGTAGCTGATGAAGACCTCTGCTTTTCACTGGCAGTGGAGAAAAAATCCTRCAATCACCCARGGCCTAAAARTCCCCATTTCCAAATRCRRTAGAATCACAGAATATGCTGAGTTGGAAGGGACCCACCAGGACCATAAAGTCCAACTTCTGGCCCCAACCCAGTTCAATATTGAACCCAAAGTAGATCAGCTTGGTGGCCTGGGTCTCAGGTGACTTTGGGATATTGAGCTACATAAGCCCTTGGCTCTGACCCAAGACATCTGTTCTTTTTTCTCTTTACCARCCCCAGATCAGGAACATGATGACCAGTAAACTGGAAACTAAGAACAGGAACCACAAGTGGTGASTTTTTACAGTACTTTGCAGAGCATGCCCGTAGCTACCTCAAATCAAGCAGAGAAGTTCCTGAAAAGTCCTTTTACATCACCCCCTCCAAAAAATAAAAATATATTTCATTAACTTAATATCCAAATTAATATCAGATATAGAGAAAACAACCTACCATGGGAAAGAGTGGTAAGAGTGGTACAGGATTCTGCYCACAGCCTCAAAGTGTCAGAGGGCTCTCAAATGCCCCTGCTGCAGACTCAGACATTCTGTTTTTTATATGATCTCCAAGTAGGCAGAATTGCTGGATTTCCCAAACAGGGTTTAGAGTGAATTTGTATGGGAGTTCAGCCACCTGTGTTTGTTCTGAGGCCTTTAGAAGGTCATGGGTGGAGTTTCGGTGCTCAATAAATTCATGCRACCTTCTTATCAACAGTTTGATATTAATTTTCCAGGTGACTTGGCTTGAAATTTGTTCTCAAATCATTCCTCCTGTCCTCGCCCTCCTTTACAGAACATGCTAAAGAACTGCAAAATTCAGTGCATAAAAAAATGCATAAACTCTGATTGCTCCTTGGAGGGCAGATGTTGRAGCTCAGCAACTCCAGCCTAGGCTTTGTCTACATATTTATTCCAGAGCTCAGGAAAGATTTTGAATATTGGAGTCAATGGTGAGGAARGAGCAAGAGCTTACCTTGAAGYCGAAGARTTCCTTTCTTCTTCTCCCTGGTGAAATGCTTGGCTGATCCCTCAGGAGTCCCAATGCGATRTATACCCAGTCATAAATCTGCCCCTTGTGATAAACAGGGAATTTCACTGAAAAGAGAAATTTTCTGTTGTTATTCAGGGAGACTGGTTCATGCCTGCCCCCAAAGTAGGGTGACAGTTGCTATTTGCAATTTCCTCAGGATTTCTCCCAGGTTCTTGCAGAATCACATGTCAGGAGAAAATAACCGTGTCTGGTGACTTCCCTGTCCATTTCCTCATTCCTCACGAATGGGGACCTACATGTGTTTCTGTTCCTTGCAGAACATCTTTTGTGGCATTAGATCGGCTGGCCTGTCTCTGAGTTCACCCAGATATTCACAGTTTGCTCTTCTGCAGCCTCTCAGAATATAATTAATATGGCCAGATGTGGTGGTGCATCCCCTGCACCCCACTCTTTCCCAGCCTGCAGTGTGATCTGAGAAATGCTTGGTTAGGCCTYGGCCTTGAAAACACCACCTGGGCTTAGCTCTTTTCTGAGCTTATCAGAAACACTGTCAGCTCCCAGCAACTCCTAACRAGCTCCTGTTTTCCTCATGACCAGCCTTGGAAAAKATTTCTCTGGCCCAAATGGCATAACGTTCCTGTTCTCACACTCTCAAAGAATTTGCCAACCCAAAGTGTGGCCCGAATGAAGCATTGTTATAACTAAAGCCCACTCTCTTGCACTCCTATAAACAGCAGTGCAAAATGGGGCCCTTTGTTCCCTCCTGGTCCTCAGTGAGCCTGTGACAATCAATCTCCCTCTGAGGGGCCTCTCGGAGCCGGTGCACCCTCAGGTTTGGGATTCCTGGATGATTGCTGAAATATGACATATCCTGGGCCGATACCCTCTCTTCTTGGAGCCAGCACACCCTCAGTTTTGGGATTCCTGGAGGATCACCGAAAACACGGTGTGTCCTGGGCCAATACCCTCACTCATCAAGGCCCCACTCTTCACCCTTTGGGTGATGCAAAAGCATCCAAAGCGAATATTTTTCACTGAACTCTGAGGARGATTTTTCCACAGGCACCTTATTTTGCACAGACTTCTATATCTGGGTGCATGCCCTTGCACATATGCTTTGCAAATCTGAAAGTTAGTTTAAGTTACAGCTGGAATTTAGGCTAATGCTGTTAGGTGTTTTTTCTCTGTTAGATTTTAAAGATTAAGCTATAAATTAAAGTTATAAATTAAGTTAAGTTTCTCTTAAGATTTAGTGTTGCTAAGCTTTAGGCCACATTCCTTTTCATCCTGGTCTACACTGTCCACACGTAAACACACACACACACACTCACACATACCTACCTAGGCAGTCTTCATTTCCATTTTGATTGCCTGTATTTTGTTTGGTTTTGTTGCTCTCTTTCCCTTGTTGTGCCTTAGCTGTCTTTTGTAAGTGGAGTGAGTCTTGCCAATGATTTTGTTGTGCATTGTGGTTTAATATTAAATCTGACTCTTGCTCATAACATTCATTATTGATTTTTTGGGGTGATCTCAAGCACAATCGTTTGAGATATCAGGCTGCATATTTTCCCTTGCCTGATTGCAAAGGCTTTGTGGGAGTCCTTATTTATGCCCAGCCTGGTGCTGAGAAGGCTCTGGGGAGACCTGAGAGCCCCTTTCAGTAACTGAAAGTGGTTCAGCTGGAGAGAAACTTTTGACAAGGGCTTGGAGTGACAGGACAACATGAAACATCTTCAAACTTGTTTGAAACAAGTTTGAAGAAKGCAACAGAAGGCAGGTTAGATTAGATGTTAGGATTAGATTTTAGTTTCAAGAAGAGCAGGCTCAGGGCACTCCACAACTGATGGAAAGGAGGTTGTAAAATGAGGTTGGGGTCAGTCTGAGAGGACTAAAGGAAAAGGCCTTAGGATGAGACAGGTGAGATTCAGATTAGATATTAGAAAAGAAGTGTTCAACTSTCATGGGATCAGGCAATGGAAYAGGATGCCCAGGGAGGTGCTGGAGTCACCATCCCTGGAGGTGTTTCAGAGGATCTGGATCCGGCTCTGGGTGATATGGAGTAGTGGTTTAAGGGKTAATGTGATAGTGCTGGGAGGATGGTGGCACTGGATGACTGTGGAACCTACTCCAACCTCTCAGATTCTATCATTCAGTGACTCTATGAAATGGCTTCCTTTTTCTTTTTGGCTTCCCAAGCATTCCACAAGCTTGCTGTGGAGCGCAGGGCATTTCTGGCTACTGCCAGGGGTAAAGGTCCTCAGTACAGCCCAGGAAGCTGATGGAGGTGGGATTCATGGGGGTGGTCACCATCCATGGTCAATCATCCACCTCTGGTTCCAGAGCCTGGAAAGAGGGAGCAGTGGGGCATGGGATGAGCAGGGCTGAGGATGAGTGTGGTCTCAAACCCCAGCAGGTGAGAAGAGGTGCGTGAGTGAGTCAGAGGAAGCCTCCTCAGGTACGGCAGAGCTGTCTGCAGAGGAGCCTCAGCCTGAAATAGCACTGATGTTTTGGGGACTGTGACATTATTGATAGTGGAAATTTCACCAAGAAGTAATGGTTTATTCATGGTTTATATATGAGGTGACCATGCAAACCAGAACTGCAGCAAATAAATTTTATTGTGAACTACACAGGAACTAAATGATCAGACCAATGTTGATCTTTTGATTGTGACATTGAATACATTGAATATAA